GTAGAATGCAGACCGGGGGGGGGGGACTGCATCTTGGGGGAAAGTATGAGAGCACATATTTTCGCTTTGTATTTTCGATCCAAAATGACACTATTCACACACAAGATTTACAGGAAACGAGCAAAGAAGGGGAGGGCGAGAGCCAGGAGAGGGGCGAGGGAGAGGGAAGGAGCGCCGTTGCAGAGATCCTCGTCGCACTGGCAGACGTCAACGATGTAGTCGTCGGAACGCTTCTGGTAACATTCGCGGTCCTCTCGCCTCTCGTAGCCACAGTCACGGAGGATGCGGATCTCGTTTTCCTGGTAGACTGGAAGATAAAAACGAAAGATTAACGCTTATTTCCTGGTGTTTTTTTCTGATTTTTCTTAGGCTTCGGGGACTGTAATGGCCTCAAAGGAGATGATAGATAAGGTGGAATTGCTGTGGGAAATGAATGCTTAAAATGAACTAAGGGGTATGCATGGAAGGAGAGGCATCTGCAGTATGATCACAATGCATGGAAAACCTGATCAAAAGGGAGATCTTTCAATAGTCAACAAATCAGTGGTCAAGATGCAAAACGGGGCGTCATGCCAACTTATAGTCAAGGCTAATAAATGTAGTCATTCAAATTGAATATTAATAAAATAACATCAAAGAGGACAATCAGCACAAAATATTACATGTAAACAAACAAATAAATAAATAAATACAGATGTATGCATATGCATATTTACACACATATATATATATATATATATATATATATATATATATATATATATATTTACACACATATATATATATATATATATATATATATATATATATATATATATATCATACATCCAAATGAAATGTAAGAAAGCAAAGTTGTCAAGCAAATATTTTCACATTTGCATCGGCAAAGGCTTGTGGGTTTTCCGAATTCAGTATCAAATCAATATTCATTCTGTAGTTGATTTTTTTTTTCTTTTTCTTTTTTTTGATGGGGGGGGGGGGGTGGAAGGATTCACAGCATTCGGATAATGTAAAAACATCCATACAGCATTCCTGGTCCTTTTATTCCAAACTCTTTAATACTTATCTCCTTGGCGATTGAAACTCACCAACTTCAACTGAAAAAATAAAATGGTAACTGTCAAAGAAAGGAAGTACGGCTAATACATTATGGGACCTCTCTACTGTGCCTGAAACTTCTCAAAACTTCAATATCTGATTCTACACAAGGGTTTTAAATGCATATAATTTAATTGGCTTAAACGCTGTTCATTCCGTTCATCTTGGGAGAGTGTATGGGAGCACATATTTCGCTTTGTATTTGCGATCCAAATGAAACTGTACGACTCTTTTTTTTTATTGAAAAACAATGACAGAATATTGGCACTGTAGAGAGGTTATCCAGCAGGGAATGGCGGGGTGATCTCATGCATATTCATGATTTTATCTAAATCTATAAAACTAACTGAGCAGTAAATAAGGATTCTACTAACAAAGGCCAGATCCATTTTGCGTCTTTCGCGAGAATAAAATATATTAACACCTATCAAAATTACTATTAGCATGCAAAAAAAAAATCTATGAACAATAATTAACACTTTTTAGCAACATTTTACAATTATGTACTAAGACTAAATCATATTAAATTTTTGTAACTAATAATAAAGTATTTCTGTTACTAAATTACAGAGCTTGACCGACAAAATCTGAGAGCTAATAAACAGTGATACTGAGCATACATTTTTATAAAAATATTCAACAAAAAGAAACAAAATTGTGTGCGTGTTTATGTATACACAAGTGTATCAGGATGTCAACATTCTAATGGAAACAGAAAGGTCTTTGTGTCAAGCCAATGGAAGCAGAATATTTGTCGCGTGGAAAGAACAGTCTTACATTTCAGATCCAGTTATACATGTTTGTTCTGACGTTTCAAAATTCCGAATTATCAGCAAAACTATTCCTGGACACATTTTGCATGCACGTCTTGTACTTTTAGCGATACTAAATGGTTTACTTTTTGGCATGCACACTACACTGGCTTTTATTTGATGGCCCGAATCGAAATATAGAATTTAGTTAGTCATGGGTACTTTAGAGCTAAGATAATCTAACCCTCGGTAATAATTATACTGATGTTAGATACTAGTTCTAAAATTCGTAATATGCACCTATTTTGTTAGTTTTTAGTTTTTGTCTATACAAGTTTATGCCAGAAAAAAACACTATACACACAAGTAATTCCTTGTGTATAGTATTTTCCGTCATATATATATATTTTTTAATCAAAACAGTATACTTGTTTTGTCATTCGCCAGAGTATATGTTTTGTCGTTCTATGTGCTACGTAAACCGCTCGACTCACTGTCCATCCTCATCTTGCGGCAGAAGGGCGTCTGGTTATCCTTCTCCTCGCAGGTCTTGATGAAGGCGTTCTGGAGGGCCGTGGAGTTGACCTGGAACTCGTCAGCGCACGCCTGGTCTTCGTGCGAGTTGCACACGAAGCACTCCAGCGCCACGGCTGCAACACAAGAAGGCGGTGTTAACGGCAAGACTGTAACTGGTATTGCTTCAACTACTGGTAGTAGTAATAATAAAAATAAGAGTGATAATAATGATGATAATAAAGGTAGCAGTAGTAATAAAAATAACTTGATAACAACAACGACAATAATAATGACTAACAAAATCTCTCTATTAAGAAGAGATTGTTTTGACGAAAAAAATCATATATATTTACAGGTTTGTGATCAGGATCTTCACTTTTTTTTTTCTTGATACTGAAGGGAAAAAATCACAATCAAAAAGAAAGAAATAATCAAAATCTCCCTCCAGCGTTACCACCATTTCGGCAAAAAGGGGGTAAATACGCTGATATAGTCAGGATTTTGTTTTCCTAACAGTGAAAAACTTTTTAAATTTCTCCAAACTATTCCTTACACAAATCCTATTTACTAATCCCGTACCATGCTACAACTGACAGCCGACTCTAAATAACACCGAAATCTGGGGCTCTAGCGTTACAATCGTAAAGGTAATACCATTAGCTGTTCATTATCGCTGTTCATTTGAGTTGACATTTTGACTCGTATCGCACATAAAACCTGGATCCCTGAACATCGAGGTGACACAAAAGTGCTCCAACGATGGAGGTTGAACCGGTAAAAGAGAGAGAGAGAGAGGGAAAGAGAGAGTAAGAGAGAGGGAGAGAGAGAGAAAGGGAGAGAGAGAGAGAAAGGGAGAGAGAGAGAGAGAGAAAGGGAGAGAGAGAGAGAGAGAGAAAGGGAGAGAGAGAGAGAGAGAGAAAGGGAGAGAGAGAGAGAGAGAGAAAGGGAGAGAGAGAGAGAGAGAAAGGGAGAGAGAGAGAGAGAGAGAGAAAGGGAGAGAGAGAGAGAGAGAAAGGGAGAGAGAGAGAGAGAGAAAGGGAGAGAGAGAGAGAGAAAGGGAGAGAGAGAGAGAAAGGGAGAGAGAGAGAGAAAGGGAGAGAGAGAGAGAGAAAGGGAGAGAGAGAGAGAAAGGGAGAGAGAGAAAGGGAGAGAGAGAGAAAGGAGAGAGAGAGAAAAGGAGAGAGAGAGAGAAAGGGAGAGAGAGAGAGAAAGGGAGAGAGAGAGAGAAAGGGAGAGAGAGAGAGAGAGAAAGGAGAGAGAGAGAGAGAAAGAGGAGAGAAGAGAGAGAAAGAGAGAGAAAGAGAGAGAGAGAGAGAGAGAGAGAGAGAAAGAGAAAGAGAGAGAAGAAGAGAGAAGAGAGAAGAGAAAGAGAGAGAGAGAGTGTGCTAGTGCACGATGGAGGTTGAACCGGTATCCCTGCGTTTGGCACGGCGTTCACTGACAGACAGGGGAACTAACGTAACATGCACGAGACTTGTGACAGTTGGCGGAAAAATAGAGGACCGATTTGACAGGTGATTGACGATGGAGGTTCGTCACACCAAATAAACGGGAGGGATCAAAGAGAAAAAATAGAAAAGAGAGAGAGAGAGAGAGAGAGAGAGAGAGAGAGAGAGAAAGGGAGAAGTCACTATACAAAAGGAATGAAAGGCTGTGGGAATATATGTTAAACTGAATAACACAGATTAACAACTAAGGCAGTATGAGGATAACCAAATAAACAACAAAGGCCATTTCAAATAGAATAATCTCAACGAATAAATCTCAGAAGAACCGCTAGCTGGTCACTCGCACAACACTCCAGCCAGTGACCTATGTAGGCGAGATCTAGCGGAGAGATAGGTCTTGCCACGCCTTTACTATATAACAATATTAATATTAACCCTGGCCTTAAGTTGCAAGCAGAATAAAAACATATAAAAAGATAAACAAATAAATAAATAAAAGCGCAAATAACCAATAAATCCAATCTAGACGCAGGCCTATATAATGAGAAATTTCACTCCCACCTTGGCAATGAAACCCACACGTACTTTCACTCGCGCTCTCAGGCACCAGGCCGCCTGCCTCTAAACCTTAAAAGGTGAAGCTGACATTATATCAGTATAGAAAGTTGTCTATGAATTCGAGCCCATACTAGATTTACATCAAAACCACCATATATAGAAACCGTTTTATCTGACTGATGTTATAAATCTGTATTATATTTAACCACCATAAGTAACTTACTCTCATAACTAGTAGCCGACCAATAACCTTAACAAACCACATGGAGAGGCTGGTTTCTCTTACTTAAGGTGTATTTTGGTGAGTAATTTACCTCGGTTCGCTATCAACCAAGGACTGTCTGCCTAATGAGGTTAAGCATTAACAACATTCTTAAGACGAACATGACACCTCTTACTCGAACTGACCAATCACTGCGTGAATATCAGAACTTCACGATTGATTTTGGTTCTCAACTTCCTTTACTTTCGATCATACGTTGTCGGGATTTATCAAAACCCAAAAGAGGCGGTATACCTTTCTATCGCAGTATCGACAAGCCTCGGTCCTCCGTGGCTGAACATTCAAACGGGTTTATGTCATTTTGCGATTCATTTAAACATCTGCTCTCGGTGCGTTTTTAGACACGCTTTCTAACCTTTTGCGGCGGCTCAGGCAAGAATTAGCCAATGCTCAAGGACCAAAACTTTTAGGAAACTTAATGAGTGTATTTTCAATATAGAGGTAAAGCACATTTTAAATAATGGTTCTATTTTCTTCTCAAAATGGTAAATATAAACATAATACATGTTTATAAAAAAATAAAAATAAAATAATGATAAGCGTATAGCAACGAGTACACACTCACAATAAAAAAAATATCTAAAAAAAAGTACAGGATTGGAAAAAATTAAGTTACAATCAACAGACGATCACGTGCCTTTGCCAACCCAACACCAGACATCAGGAGCCACTTCAGCATTGCCGCTCAGTGAAGTTGCATTCTTTGCAACACAGAACTGTGTACGGTTACAATTCTTTTGCAGCCAGAGCCCAGCGATCCTATGATAATTGACTACCAATAACCTCACGCAGTCTCTCGGAAACTGTGGAGTTAATGGTAGTTTTGTGGGTCTGCTTGGTTTAACGAGCAATTGGAAGTTGGGGAGTCCCTTAACGAGACTGTTCTTGATCCACAGTCGCCAGAATTGTTGAATAACTATTTGCATAAGTCTCTTATACATGTATTTATATGGGAGAGGAAGAGGGAGAGAAAGAGAGAGGAGGGGGAAGGGGGGAGGGAGGAAGGGATACTTGTGATACATATCTTCATATTAACTAAAGTGTGTCAACACTATAATAGCCTGGGTCATGAAGTAACCGTGGCACCAAGTTGTACTGTGTCAGCAAAGCAGTGTACGACCAACATACCAACATCTCTCTCTCTCTCTCTCTCTCCTCTCCTCTCCCTCTTTCTCTTCCTCTCCCTCCTCTTCCCCCTCTCCTCCAACCTACCTCGCTCCCTCTCTCCCTCCCCCTCTCTCTCTCTCTCTCTCTCTCTCTCTTCCTCTCCCTCTCTCCAATCAGCATTCAACGTCCAAGGCACTCTTCATTTATCTCCGTCTCTCTCTTACTCCATTTAAAATGTTCGGTCATGCAAAGTTCTTTCCGCGCATGAGAGAATGACCACAGAAACCGTCGCCAATTTGGATCATATCGACTTCACAAAAGGAAAGTGGCTCTCATTCGCCTTAATGGTATCTGACATTCATTTTACTCTGAATTACTAAAAAGAATCCTCACAACAAAAAAATAGGAGAGAACAGAAGAAAAGAGAGAAAGGTGTATGTGCGCAGTACATACACCTCTTAGAAAGGATGTTAGAATAACAAATGGAAATGTCTCAGCGTTAAAATTGGCGTGGTGTAATTTTCCATTTCCTGAAAACCCTAAGAACCATTAAAACAGTCCCGTTGCATATTTCACAATAATCATTCAGGGCAAAAGCAGACCGAACCGGCCGCGCAGGGATGGAGGTAATGCATTTCCACTGTCCCCTGCCCTGTACCTAAAGCCGTGTGGCGGAATTTTCAGAATACCAAGTTGGAGGAAAATTACCCTCCTGCATAATTACGTCACCGAGATTTCCACATATCAAAATTCGAGGCCATTCTTGCTCCCTTTTGTGTCTCCTCCTCATTACAACACAAGGCGAGCTGGGGTTCGCGGAAAGCGTCAGGTTGCGCATCGGTTTGCGCAACGGCTGGATTCTGCCGGCCGGGTGGCTGCGCCGGCTGTCCCTAAAGGGCGCTCCTCTTCGGGCTCCTGCGCGCGCAGCAGCCTTACGCAAAGGAGTGACGGATGAATAACACATTGCTTTATTCATGTTAGTTTCAAACGATATAGATTACATGTGCGAGCTTGCGTGTGTTCAACGCGTAAACATATACACTTATTTCTCTATCTCTCTCTCACACACACACACGAAAACATGTCTGTTGTGGATGCCACAGGGGATGGAAAATACACTGAAGGCCAATGGAAACTTCCTGATGAGTCACAAACAACATACGCACACAAACTGTCGTGTATTATGTTTATATATATCTACATATATTCTATATATATAATCTGTAATACAATATAATATATATAATATATATTAAACATATATGCATATATAATAACTACATATATGCAAGAGTATGTAAAATGTGTGCGTGCATATCTTTTTATATGAAAGATTTTTCAGAATAATTTACACTGAAACTACATTCAGTCGTGCCCCTATGAGCCCGGGCTTTTCCAAGTCCAGAACTAGTTTGAACCGAATCTTCCGTTGCCGAGTCAACACAAGAATGATTCCTTTAAAAATCTCCGGAAGTGACACCGACATTTTTTCCCTTTTTTTGTCTAGAAACTAAATATGCAAAATACCAATAGCACAAACGATCATTTCACCAGCAAGGTTATTTATTTTTCAAGTCATGATACCACAAAAGCACTAAGTGGGGAAGTAAGAACAGTCCCATTCGCTTGTTATTTGAGCATGTTTATTCGAATATAATGAAAATCGGTTTCAGCTGACGTTTACGAGAGCCAACTGATGACGTCGATGCTTTAGAAATAGTGTACTTTTCTTGTGATG